TCGAGAAAAGATGACCGTGAATGTGACAACGCCCTGTTGTTTATGTTTTGTTGTCTATTACATGACATGCTTGATGTTTATTTGGAATTCTATTCTATAAATACCGTGGGGACATATCTCATTCATATATCTTTGTTCAAGCATATTGGAAAAGGGAGCATTATCACCCCAGCCTGAGAGAGAGTAAACAAGGAGTGGGTTGATGCAACTGGATAAGCTTAGTGATTGTTATTGGTGTAGTTTGTAAATGAATAAAAAAAAAATATTTATTTTATATTGAAAAGAAATATTTCTTTTAAGTGTGAGTTTTTATTATGTTAAAAATTAAGTTACAGTGAATAAATTTTTCTATTTAGCTTTTTAATATTATTATAAAAATATTTATAATATCAAAAGATAATATTTGGAATTAAAAATTTAAAACTTAATATGTATAATTATAATGTTTTATAAATAGTTATAATATTTGATGAATAACCATAGTATTTTAGTAATAATCATATTGTTTGATGAATAATTATATTGCTTCATTAACAATTATTTATCTATGTTTCAAGTCTATAAAAATATATTATTATACAGAAAAAATATATAATAAAATATTTTTTTCTTGATCTTATCTTTTTATTTTTTTAGAAGTTTAGAGAATTTAGTTGTATTTTAAAGATATTTTTACATAAAACAAATAAAAATTTTAAAAATAATATTTTTACACTTTTAAACCAACACCATATTTATTTTCATCCTAAATATTCCTAACAATTGTTGGAGTACATTTTATGGTTTTTTTTTTTTTTTAGATTAACGTGGGTGTCCGGACCAGTTTACGCGCACCACGACTAATCCCACGGGCCCTAAAATTAATGATCATGTAAATCTCCGGTGGCCATCATATGAGCAACCAAGAACTCGAACCTGAGACCACAGAAACCCTTTAATCTCATTTTTGCTGTGCTTGCAGATGCTGATCCTAGTTTTAATAATCAAATTATACCCTCGTAGCTCGCGAACAATGCCCAAGTTGCAGATGTCAAAAGATCCCATACGTCAATTTGTGGTTAATGTGTAGTGGTTATGAAAATCGAAATACAGTTGTGGTTCCTTTGATCTACTGGTAATCAGGTTCCACCCTATAATCTGAGTTGATAAGTTAGAGATTTGAGAGTTCTCTTCAGAAACACATGGAGATTGCTCTTGTAGTTTGTTTCTTGGCAAAAATTTCAAACTCTTCAATGCAATTGCAGACTGTTAACAACTTTCACGTTTTGAGATCATATCGCTGTGCAGTCAGATAATAAAGAAAAAGAAAGAAGCCATGCTTGAAGCGCTCAATTGCCATGTTTTTTTATATTTTTCACAATTAATCGAAAACGTTCAAAAACCCAGAAACTCAGGGAAAATGTTATATAAATATAAATATAAATATTTGGACCACATAAGCAACTTTCCGTTGTAGTCTAGTTGGTCAGGATACTCGGCTCTCACCCGAGAGACCCGGGTTCAAGTCCCGGCAACGGAATATATCCATTTTATTATCCAAATGTAATTCACATGATTATTCTTCTAGTTCTGGGTGGCCCAAGCTGCGGTTTTTAAGGCGGCCAGAGGGGCTGTTGGTTCCCAGGTAGCAACACTTGTCTTTTTTGTCGTCTCTACTTCCCTGTCTACTTTCTGCTGTGTTTGTTTTTTATTTTGTTTTTACGGTTGAGATTTGTGCATGAAATTTATAAATTAAAAAAATTAGAAAAAAAAAACTAGTTTTTATAATTAGGTTTTATACATAATTAAATTTTACCTATCCTCAATTTTAACTTGAACCATAAAAACAAACGCATTTAATAATTTCCGGATGAACTGTACAGGAACTTGAGATTCTTTTTTCTGTGTGTCCGGAAAGGTAAATTAAAGGCATCATGTTTTTATTCTAAATAAAGTTACGATGGTTTGGTGAAAAACACTGTTTCTTTAGTCATACTGTGGACCAGTAATCTATAGTGTGTTTTCTTTTTATTTTTGATTATTAATTTTTTAATTTAGTCAATGTGTTAATGGTGGTTATGGGGATTTAAAATAAATAATTTATTTTAATATAGTTATTGTAGTATAAAATAAAATATCAGTGTTGGATTAGTATCTAAAAAATATCTTAACTTCATGGTATAGTCTATTTTTTTTAAGAATTAGTTAAATAAAAAATATATTTAAAAAAAAATTAAGTTATTAAAATTTTATAGAGTTAATAATTCAATTTATGAGTTTAACGAGATAATTCTAGTTATTCTTATTTACAAGTTTAGAAAAGTATTCTTTTTTTAACTGATTATATAATTGTTTATTTTTTATTATATAATTTAAAAAATAATTAGAAAAACATCTTATTAAATTTTAGAAAATCTATAGACTTTTGACATATATGATGAGTTTAAATTTTTTTTATAATTTGATTATTTAATATTATATTTTTTTTATAAATTATCGTGATTTCAAATAATGTTTTTTCAAACCTTATGTCATGTTTTTTTTTATTATCATTTAAGTTGTCTTTAAATTTATTAAATTAAATAATTTATTGTAAATCATTTTTTATATTATTTAATTTCAAACTTGAGCTAAGTAAAAATTAAGTTATAAATTTTAAGATCGAACTGCTTGATTGAATTTAATAATATTATCCAAAAAATCTTCATACTCAATCATTTTTAAAAAAGTTAAAAGAAGCACCGAAAAATATACTAGTATTATATTATATTATGTGTATTTTGCAAGCAGTAAATGTTTACCTGAAAGAGAGTATTGTGAATAAAAAACTAATGAAAAATATTAAATGGAATAGAAAGTGATGATTAAATTACAAATCACACCAACTTAAATTCTTTACTTGATTGCAAAACCGTTAGCACCTTATATATATTACAACATTAAATAAATAACCACTACAGAAATAATTATTTTTTTAGATGATTGGCTAATTAATCTTATCTTATTATCTAAGTATCGACGTCATTTTCACTTGTCAAAACAATTCTCGAAAAACAATTGGAGAACCTATAACATACGAAAAATAATACATGGTCGCGTCCACAGTGGATCGTGCTGACCACTCTATAGAAAAAAGAATTGCGTGCTTAAGACTTTCTCAAATACAAGCGCGTGGGCTTAGTATTTTTCGGTTTTTGTTTTTTTTAAACCCACAGCATAAAGAAGAAATAAGACTATAAAAGTCTTCCTAGTCTCCTTTACTTAATTCTTCAATAATGTGTTTGAAAGAATAATTCATTTGAAAAAATATATAGTCGTGGTTATTTTTTAAAAATTATTTTTGATATTAATATTAAAATAATTTAAAAATATTAAAAAAATATTAATTTCAAAAAATTTCAAAAAATTATTTTTAAATATAAAAATAAAATTGACATGAAAGAACACAATTATTAACTGTTATTAATGACCAGGCTAGTCATCGGTTGAGAAGACATAATGCGTTTCCTTACACTTTTCAAATGGAGTTCCCACCTCAATTTCACAAGGGTGATCTCTAGTCTTTACCACTATTTTTAATATTTTGTTAATGACTAGCTTTGTCTTGAAAATAAATTTTATAGAAAACGAAAAATGACCTTTGGAATTTGCTAGAAATTAAATTCTATAAAAATCTTTTGGTAAGATTTAGCATTATCCATTGAGACATGATTGGTTAGAGAATAATTTGTATATGTCCATAATTATAAAATTTAATGGGAAGATTAATTTAAAGTAAAAATCAACCTGAATCAACTCTAATTAATTTTTTTAAATAATTTTAATTGAATTTGATTTTAGATTAACAAGATTATAGTGCAAAGCTCTAGAAGAATCCAGGTTTTATAATTAGGTAAATTACAAGCCGGGATTAATGGTCAGTTCATGGTTGCCCATGGAATAAGCAAAGACATTAACACCATTCATTGCCAACTAAACCCATCAAAATCAGTTTCAATAAAACATAACAAACCACGAAAATATGCAGCTAGAAAATAACCACATGCATCAATTATGCCACTAAATAATATCGAATTCCTTAAAATGGCATTTCATTAATTATATATTCAAATTGATACAATTGTCTCTTTCGTTATAAAAAAATATAATATTTGAGCTATACGCAAGAATATAATATAATTCTTTTTCTTAAATTTTAATGGTTGACTAATTCCAAACCTAAATGTTTTTCAAAGCATTCTAAGCATTCTAAGCAATCTCGAGAATCTATCTATCCATATATATATATATATATTAAATAATTTTAATTGAATTTGATTTTAGATTAACAAGATTATAGTGCAAAGCTCTAGAAGAATCCAGGTTTTATAATTAGGTAAATTACAAGCCGGGATTAATGGTCAGTTCATGGTTGCCCAGGGAATAAGCAAAGACATTAACACCATTCATTGCCAACTAAACCCATCAAAATCAGTTTCAATAAAACATAACAAACCACGAAAATATGCAGCTAGAAAATAACCACATGCATCAATTATGCCACTAAATAATATCGAATTCCTTAAAATGGCATTTCATTAATTATATATTCAAATTGATACAATTGTCTCTTTCGTTATAAAAAAATATAATATTTGAGCTATACGCAAGAATATAATATAATTCTTTTTCTTAAATTTTAATGGTTGACTAATTCCAAACCTAAATGTTTTTCAAAGCATTCTAAGCATTCTAAGCAATCTCGAGAATCTATCTATCCATATATATATATATATATCAAGGGTGATTATCATACTGAAAACTTGCCTAATAGCCCAATTACATGAAAAGATAGATTAAGTTATTTAACCTAATTCCTATATTGTGTACGCGGAAGAGTCTTCAGTTTGCACGCTGCATTCAAAGGTACATGTGCGTTCCTACACAGCCACTCGAGGGGTTTTTTCTTCTTCTTCCAGTTTCCCATAGAAAAAGACCTTGGGTGAAAGCTAATCCTATTAATTACTTTTGTGTACAAAGACAAATTTTATTATAATATGCTGTCTTTCAACTTCAACATCATAGAAAAAGGGAAGGCGCACCATCGCTTACTGTTTGTTTGAAGGAGAAGCTCTATAGGGGACGGAGAGATGAGATGTTATTATAATATGCTGCCTTTCAACTTCAACATCATAGAAAAAGTGAAAGCGCACCATCGCTTACTGTTTGCGTGAAGGGGAAGCTCTATAGGGGACGGAGAGATGAGAAGAGAGTGCCATCCTTTGTTGAGTGGAGGGAGAACTAGAGAGAGCAAGCACAATCATGGGCTCTCTTCTGCTGAGATGGATTCGCTTGCTAGTCTATGCGAAACCATATTGCCTTCTCTGCCACCACCTGTTACTACTTTCGACGGAAAACAACACCTACCTACCAAGGCCGTGCAGGCCCTATACAGAGCTTCTGCCTCTCAAACGCCAGTGCCTGATGAGGTTTAGAATCGATATATTCTCCCCTTCTTAACTTCTCTTGTCTCACACAATTATAGGTGAACACAAACAAATTAAGGAAACAAACTTGAATCGGTTGTAGTTTCATGAATTTAATAGTTTCTGATCCAGAAAAAGAAATTGTTTGAACTATTCAATTGGCTACAGGAATTTATTGAAATTGGCAGCCTTTTTTCTTGTTTTTTCTTGCCTTGCACAGATTGCAGAGCTTTTAAGGAAGAGGGGTTTGCCAGAAGCCGTGTTCCTGGTGAGATTGGTTCTATGGCTTCTATCTACCAGGCTGGGTACATTTTTGCTTTGCGGGTCTCTTTGTTTTGGGGAGAAATGGCTCTGCATTCAGAATTTTTCAAGCATCTCTTTGGATAAGAGGGAGAAGGTTCTGCAGAAATGGTTCAAACGCAGGTTTTTTACACCTATCAGAATTGCCTTCATTTATGTCAAGGTCTTGTGCGTCTTCGTTTTCTTCTCTCGGGTAATGTTCCCATCACTTTGCAAGATCCTATGCTCCTTGTTCTTTGGTATTTAGTGAAAAATAATTTATCAGGAATATATCTAATAATTTATCCCAGGCATAAAACATAGACGCCCAAGATAATTTCTTAGTTAATAGTAATTAATAATTACCCATTTATACTATTTTGGGAATCACCACAAGCATTGGTCTTCGGTCTCTTATCATTTAGCTATTTTACGTATACATGTACTGGTATAAATGACCAGTTCAAGATCTAATCAAGACTCAAGAGGAGCTAAATCTAGTTGATATACGAAAAATTAACCAGAAAATATATTTAAATTTAAAGTTGAAAAAACAAATCTAAACCGGAATGAGTCTAACGGCAAATTTGGAGAAGATTTATTAATAAAATTTAAATATTTAGAAACAAACACCTTAAAAAATAACTTTTTAGCTTGCGTTATTTGGGTGCTGCTATTTGGATGGTATTAAAAATAACTTTTTAGCTTGCGTTAATTTGAAAAACAAATTTATGTTTTTAAATTGTATTAAAAATAATACAAATATTCTTTTTATTTATTGTTAAATAAATAATATTTTAAAAAAGAACTGATAATATACTGCCAAACACCTCATGAAAAGTGAGCGGTTGGAGTTGCGTATGGCCAAAAGAAATGCCAGCCATTCCACTTGTTTTACAACAACGACAGGCATAAAATGAAAGAGAAACTAATCGTAGGTTGACACATCGGTAACACATCTCTATCCAGGATCGATTCTGTGTGGGATATTCTATTATTAGCAGAGAGAAACAAGTGACTTCTCCTTCTCCTTTTACCTCCACCGACAAAGCATCTTGCTAAATGGAGTTGTTGCCTTCAGTGTAAGGAAAAGGCTTTTGGACTGCACATTGCCATTTTTCTCTCGTTCTTTCAATTCTATGCAATCTTGGATATGATTAAAGGATGTAATGAAGATTTTCTGCTGTGATTTTGTGTAGGCAGTCCTGATAGCAAGAGTCCATTTCTTCACCCTGCTAATTTATGCAGAAATGTATCACGGCTCCGATCCGTTAATTCATCAGTAATAGTCATACTTTGGTTTTTGATCACTCCCTTTCGTATAACAGCTTGAATTGGAACATATATGTCATCCTTAATTCGACCGAGAAACATAACATTGACGTCTTAGCTGCCCCATTTAATTATAGCTTTTATGATTGCTATACAGTACCAACAACAACCCTAACAATATATTCCATAAAAATAAAAACCGACTCATCCAACCAACTCCATCCAAACAATTAATCATGCACTACACTCGTTTCTCACTTGGGTAAATCACAGATGTAAAGGTTACAATGACCCCCTTCTACAGTAGCAGTTATTTCAAGTCTTGAAGATCTCCAACTTCATCTGCTTCTACAGGTTGGTCAAAATGGTGACAACCCAGCATGGGAAGCCATTGAATATTGTGCAGGCACTGATGAAAATCCAAACCAGGTTTCGAAGGAGAGGCCCCTTCAAAAGGGATTGATAGATACGAATCAAGAAACTGACTCCACCCTTCTCCGCTCTCTTACTGAAAAAGGCCTAGAAGTTACGCGAGATCCTCGAAGGAACCTTTGTAAAATCAAATGTGATGTTGTTATTGTTGGCTCCGGTTGTGGTGGAGGAGTTGCCGCGGCTGTTCTTGCAGCTTCTGGGCAAAAGGTCTTTGTTCTCGAGAAAGGGAACTACTTTACTGCTGCGGATTATTCTGGCTTGGAAGGCCCTTCCATAGCTCAACTATACGAATCAGGTGGATTGCTTGCAAGTGCTGATGCAGGGATGATAATTATGGCAGGATCAGCAGTTGGAGGAGGTTCTGTTGTTAATTGGTCAGCATCCATCAAAACACCAAACTCTGTGCTTCAGGAATGGACCAAGAACCAGAAAATTCCACTTTTTGGAAGCCCTGAATATTTTTCTGCCATGGATACTGTTTGTGCGAGAATAGGAGTTACAGAGAATTGTAAAGTGGAAGGATTTCAGAATCAAGTACTTCGAAAAGGGTGTGAGCGCCTTGGTGTTCCCGTCAAAACCGTCCCACGAAATACCTCAGAGAGACATTATTGTGGCTCTTGTGGTTATGGTTGTCGAAAAGGAGAGAAGAAAGGGACTGATCGTACATGGCTGGTCGATGCCGTTGATCACGGGGCAGTGATCTTAACAGGATGCAAAGCAGAGAGATTTCTATTGGAAAAGAACAAGGGCTTAGGTAAACGAAAAAAGAAGTGCTTGGGAGTGATCGCAAAAATTATAAACAGTAACATCATAACAAGATTGCAAATTGAGGCCAAGGTAACAATCTCAGCATGTGGAGCTCTCTTGACACCGCCTTTAATGATCTCTAGTGGGTTGAAGAATCAGAATATAGGTAGGAACCTTCATCTACACCCTGTCCTAATGGCCTGGGGATACTTTCCCGAGTCAAATTCAGAGTTCAAGGGTAAAGTATACGATGGTGGAATAATCACAGCAGTTCATGAAGTGGTAGCAGGAGACTCCAATGTAAGGGCAATTGTAGAAACCCCTGGATTAGGGCCTTCTTCATTTTCTGTATTATGCCCCTGGGTGTCAGGGCATGACATGAAGAACAGAATGATGAAGTATGCAAGAACTGCTCACCTCATAACAATAATAAGAGACAGCGGGTCTGGAAAGGTTACGACGGAGGGAAGGATATCCTATAAATTAGATGCATCGGACAGAGACAATCTCAAGGTAGGGCTGCGGCAGGCATTGAGAATTTTAGTAGCAGCGGGAGCTGTCGAAGTGGGTACACATAGAAGCGATGGGCAGAGGATCAAATGTAGAGGGATCAAAAAAGAGGATCTGGAGGAATTTTTGGACACAGTTTATGCTACCGGGGGGGCACTGTCAATGGAAGAGGACTGGATGTTTTACTCCTCAGCCCATCAAATGGGGAGCTGCAGGATGGGGATTAAAGAAAAAGAAGGTGCTGTTGATGAGAATGGAGAAAGTTGGGAAGCAGAAGGCCTGTTCGTTTGTGACGCTAGTGTTTTGCCAAGTGCTGTGGGTGTTAATCCAATGATCACAATCCAGTCCACTGCTTACTGTCTCTCAAAGAAAATAGCAGAGTCCTTACGCGAAGACTAAAGACCAATCCTCTAGAGCTTACAGAATCCTGTTAATCCTAAACTTGTCCAAGAAAATAATTTGTTTCAGCAGGAATCAAATTATAAGACTTGATTAGTAATGGTCTCAATTGCCAAAAATTTGCAATAACATCGCATTATTAATAATAAAAACACTTTTTCTCTAACCCAAGGCTTTTCTTTTAATATTTTTAATTTTATCAAAAAATCATCTCAATTTAATAGTGTAAACTTAAATTGTTAGGTGAAATTTCAAAATATAATTTATATTATTCTATAACATATTTCTTGAAGTGATAGGCTAGGTTCTAAAATATAATTTATATTATTTTTGACCCAAGGATTTTCTTTTAATGTTTTTAATTTTATAAAATAATCATCTCAATTTAATAGTGTGAACTTAAATTTTTAGATGAAATTTCAAAATATAATTCATATTATTCTATAACATATTTTCTAAAGTGATAGGCTAGGTTTTAAAATATAATTTATATTATTTTCTAATATATTTTTTTAAATGAGTCTTTTAAACTCGAAACTTGTACAGGTTTACATTACTTTGTGTTAAATTTTTATTAAATAAATAGAAATGATGAGATTCAAACTTGTGACCACTTAGTTATTTAGACTTTGATATCATATTTACAAACTATTTCAACTCAATAATTTAAATTATTAAATAAAATTTTAAGATATAATTTATATTATATTTTTTTTTATAAATTTTAACTTTAAAAAATGCCTTTAATTTTTCTGTTTTATAAATTTTGACTTTAAAAAATGCCTTTAATTTTTCTGTCCTCTTGATCTTCAATGTGCTTCAAATTCATTGGGGCTGTCTATCCATTTCATCCAACTCAATGCAACCATTTTATTGAAAGGGCTGTGGGCTGCCTCAAGTTTTTCAAAATTTATACTTCTCAACATATAAGACGAGTCATGGGGATATTTTAGCTGCCAATGGATGTTCTTCAAGTCATCACTACAGGAAATGAAAATTTGTCGAAGACATCCGTTTCGTTCATATCATCAAATCGAAGTCAGAATTCCCGATATTGTACAAGATAATAATTCCAAGTAAACTTGATGCTCGCTTTCTTCATTACACTCAAAGCTTTACAATCACTGAATCAGTTGGATCTGTGAAGAATGACAAGGAGACTCACACATTTTTTATAACATGTGGATCCCATATGGCCCATTTATGTCAGCCTTCTTGGAACTGTACCTGGAATGAACTTGTAAGGAAATTCTATACATTTTGATGGTTGGACATCTCAGCCATCAGAATCACTCTCGCGGAATGGCAAGGGAACTGCTTTCACCGCCCTGAACTTGCCAACATTATTCAGATGCTCATTCTCCAACCTGTTTCAACACATTCTGACGAATGTTAGAAGATAGATATTTTGCCTCTAGAGACCACAAAGCTCTTCGCATAAACTTTTCTAAGTAAAGATTGAAATAAAATGTACCTGTAAAAATTCCAGTGGCCACGTCGAATTACCTCCAAAGAAGCCAATAAAAAATCCAACATACGTGACTCAACCATGTTGAAGCGGAACCCCATGACAGTCTCCACCCAAGCAACTCTAAGAACTATGTTCAAGACCTGCAATTCAATTTCTCAATCTGTTAAGAGCTTCCACATTTAACGCTTGAATGAAATAGGATTTAAATGGAGGGAGAACTCACGATGGACATGTAGTAGACGTTTTTGTTCTTTAGTATCAAATTATCTCTTAGCCATAGATTCTTGGATTTAGAGTTGAGAAGGCCCCAGTCCTTAACAAAATCCCAGTACAATTGATAGACTGTGGCAAACACAGAAGTAACCAGGACTATACCAAACCATAGGTGGTTCTCCTGCCTACCGTAAGTTATCCTCGCACCAGCTGCCACCATGGCAGAAACATACTTCCCCATGTTAGCCAAATGGTTAAGGTCACTTTCATCAAACCATCTTCTTGCACACTTTCGTTGACAAGAAAATGTATTAGTTGGAGATAAAGAATTTGGCTTTGAGTGACTAAAAAATAAATGATCATACATTTTTGAAAGAAAAATGTGTAGTTGTTAAGGGGAATTATACCTGCATAGCACGCCAATAGTAGGGCAAAAATGAGATGACATAAGCAAGCTCCCTATATAGCCTTCCGGATTTGCAGGTTTCATATCTATGTGTCTTGATACTTCCAGCTAGAAAGTAGCAAGTTGTGGATTCCATGTGCCTCAGCAATGGAATCTGTATTAAAATCGAGAGGAAGATTAGGCAAGACACAAGCTAATTGAAATCAAGAGAAAGAATATACAGACGTTCAATGCTTTAAGCAGTAAATTATATGCTAAGAGAAATCACCTGGCTAGTAAGTTGGTCTGCCATGAAAAAGTCGACCATCAAAACCTGCAAATATGTTGTAATCAAGAAAACCAAAAAACAGAATTTTGGGTCATTACACTGAAAAATTCTTATAATGCTCGACAAAATAAACAAGTGTGATATATACCTTGTAAAATGGAGAGCAGAATATGTTTCGTATAATCGAGATGAAGCAATAACGAGTTGGACGATAGAAGATGTCAAAAGGGCAAATGATCACGAAAATAAAAATCTGAAAAATATATGTGAATATCAGCACCAATCTCTAGTTTAATATGAGGTTCAATTGAAGTTCTGATGAGCTTCCAAGGAAAACGACTTCTGCTTGAGCAAATATTCAATGCTGGTTCAGAATAGGAAAACTTGTAACAGCTTGCTACTAACAGGAACCATTAACACTTACTAGGAGGAGAATCCCAGGAATGGCATCGACATGGTTTGGTGAAAAACCGCTAGCCCTTAAGAGAAGATGGATTACCATTGCTGCTACCACGGAGGTCATGAAAGTGGTGCAAATGAGGAAGGCATCTCTGTACTTGAGGGCTGTGCTGGGTTGGAATTGAAAAATAAAATTGTAGTTGATCCTTGTACCCTTCCACATGAAGAGATTGCAGCCGTACATAAACAAGTGTAAACTTAACAAGGCGAAGACACTGCATAACATCACAGTTAGTCCATCAACTGCAGATTCAGATCATATCTTATCCTATCTTGGATAGTATAAACATAAAAACAAGGATATGCTTCGTTGCTTACAATTTGCACTATCCTACTTCTCAAATAAATCCTTCATTTATTGTCAATCCAGTTACAAGGAATTCCATATTAGTCATCTAGTACATTAAGGCATGTATATTAAGTTCTTCCAAACTTTCTTTTTTTTGGTTAAAAAGATTCTTCAAATCACTAGTTAAAAACCATGTAGAATTTATGTGAAGAATTACTAAGTGGATTAAAGATTTGTTCATAATAAGCACCTGAAAACAGGGTAGACAGTTTCCACGTATGATCTTTCAGAATTTGGTTTAAAAATACCAGCCAAGTGTGCCAAGATTGCGTATAAACTGAACAGTGATACAAAACAACCAGTAAGCAATCCTGCAATAAGCAACAACAAAAGAAAAAAACATCAATAAATAATAAAAAAAACATGAATCTTCGTGAAACAGTACTGGCAGCACATGGTTGGTGGGTCCTATTCTAACTACACTAATAAACCTTGAACTAATAGGATTAGCGGCCACTGCCAGGACTATTTCTTCACCATGGGATTTTTGTGAGCGACATATTTTGACCGAAAGGCTGATCTTTATTTGATGAAAAATCATATAAAAAACATTAATTGAATTTTTTTAAAATAAAAAAAATACTTTCTAAAATCCGAGGTTAAGTCTCACCACTCATACTAACCCTTGTGAGCTTTTTTTCCTCTAGTATGTCTACCCTACCAATAAATAAAAATGGATTTGCCTTGTCAATGAACTTAATTAAACGAAGTGATGAGAGTTGGTAAAGATTATTGTCGGTGTGTGTCAGAGAAAGAGAAATTACCAACAAAAAAGGTAACCATGTGAGACTCTTTTTGTTGCTGGGGTCTCAGGAACTTCATCGCCTTTTTCCTGTCATTGTTGGCGAAGTGCTTTGTGAAGATGAACTCCACATCATCCATTAGTCTCACAACCTTATCAGTCAAGTAGTATAACATTGCACATTAATACTTATCAGAAAACCATTAATCCCATTCTACAAATGTGCTTGAGTAAACAAAATGCAAAATACATATTTGTGGAGGGCTAACCAGAAGTCATCATGCATACAAAAAGAACATGGCTGGACCATATCCTTGCCACGTGCATTTTGGTATAGACATTAGGTAGTCGGTGAAGAATAACCGAAGTATGATCATGTGCAGGCGAAGGATGCAATTCTGAGTGCCATATGCACAACAGCAAGGCATCTTTCTACATGAAAAAACTAATGATAATGTCTTGTTACCTTATCAGAGCTAATGAAGTGGGATCTCTTCACTACTTTTAAATAGCTTGCTGATGCTTGTTGATTAGATACCTGTTGATGTGTGAAAAATCCCAGTTTCAGTTGTTTTATGAACAGTACTAACTCATGAAGTTTATGCAGATGACATAGTGAGATAATATGAAATTGCATTCATCACTATTATATGGTTAAGATTATCAGAAGAATGACTTGATATATGATAAATTATATATATTGTTCTTTTTTTCACTACTAGTGATGATGAGTCCAATTATAAAGTATTTATGTAGAAGGAGATATAAGATTCGATCGGGATAGGTAAAAGATGGAGAGCGATTGATGATATTTAGAAGTGAAAAAATAAAAATATATGCTCCAATCCCTTAATTTTATTACATCATCATTAATTAGGTAAGGATATTTGGTGGTCTCACATTCTTCATGTGAGGAACATATATATATATATAAAATCGCTAAAGTCCTCAGTGAATAGCATTAAATTCAAAATGATGTTATTTTAGCTAAATATAAACTTAAAATCTTTAATTAAGCCTATTTCTTTCAAAATATAATGTTTTTGAGAAACTGTTTTATACCCAGTTTTTAGAATATCAACATAATTAATTATCATTTTTTTTTTAATTTTAGTTCATAAAAATTATTTTACGTACTTTAATATCTCATTTCTGTATTTCTTTTCGGTTGCTTTTGATTAATGGAATCTCTCAATCATAAAAAAAGGAAAAATATTGGTTTAACAGAATTTTGAGGTATTAGAGGGCTGGGTTGAAG